AGCTCACACATACCACACATAGATTAGCAAAAATACAGATAAAATTATTATTGACATACTGCCTGCCTCTGAAAACGAGGAAGCTGGTAGAATCGGGGCCCTCCTCCTCCCCTCTGAGAGTGGAGATCATTTGAAAGCTCTAGAGCAGTTCCTAGGGAATCGCAGCCACAAATTTCCAGAGGCAGAGGGAAGACCATAAGGGCATGTAACTGTTCTCTTCCAGCCACATAACCTCAAATTGAAACACAGGAAACCTAAAACATAAAGATGAGGCCAAACCACCTTCAGATCCATCTAGCCTCTACATTAGCCCCAGGCAAATCAAACTTGTTGATTCATGGGAAGGGAATGGTGGGTCCCTCTAGCTGCTCAAGAAAATGAAAACCCAGAGTTTCCACATCCACTCTCAATGCTCTGTGGAGTTCAGGAACCTTGTGAGGTTCCCACTCTGCCTTTCCTCATTAGGCTGGAAGGCTATCAAGTTACAAAAAGCACAACTTGGAAGAAGAAAAAGAAATCAGACTGTCTCAAATTTCCCATCCTGTGAAAGCTAAAAAATGCTGGAATTGGACCAAGTCAGCCACGTCACTTGAGCATGTATGGACAAAGGGTTCAGGGGCGGTCCATCACCAACAGTGTTTATAAAGTGCATCCTATTTAATACATGAAAACTCCTTGGTCCCTTGCTAAAACATAACTTTAGAAAGTCCTCCCCCATCTCAATGTCTTGCCAATATTGTTTCATGGATTTTTCAAAAATTATCATGCCTCACTTTCCTTCTCAACTTTCATTCCCTACCAGAATCTCAGGTCTCTGCAAGAATTCTGTGTTCTCTAAAACAATAAAAACTGCTTCAGCAGCTACTTCCAATGATTGTCCAACCTGCCTCTCAGTCCCATGGAAGCTCTTTGCAAAGATGTTGCTTTTCCCTTGTCTGGAACAAATTCCTTTGCAGATGGACCATCCAATGTCTAAGAATAACTCTTTTAACTATCAATAGAGACAAAGAGATTCAGTTGCACTGTTCCCGTGGGATTCCTTTGAGTTTGGACACATCTGTTAAGATGCATACATCAGAGCCTGAATGAAGTTTTTGTCTGATTGTATCTCTGAGAACTCGTAAAAGTTTCTGCCAAAATGATCTTATCTCTTGGCACTTGAAAAACATATAGAGTTATAGATGCCTTCTGAAGGACTCCCGAAGCAAGTAGCCTATACAGACCAAATCAGTTTAAACACAGTCAGGTCCTGCTGATTTCCTTCAGCAAAATCTTTAGATGCTTTACCTGTGGCAGTTCAGCCTTCAAACTAGGACCCCCACCAACTTTATGCATTCTCTATCCGTAGGCAAGAAAGTATGTGGAAAACAGCAAATGGCACCAATCTCATGTGCTTTCCTTTGCTTCTCTGTAACCTTTCCAGAATCTGTGCCTCCATGCTTGTCCTTGTAGCTTTTTGCACAAACATCTTTCTTTTGGGTAAGCAGCTACATGTGTTTGTGACAGCTGAGTAGCTAGAGGTGTAACTCATTTGGAGCTCTATCAGCAAACTCTATGACTTAATTCCAAATTAATTCAAAGTGGTGGTTTTTATCTGCCAAGCCCTACATGAAAACAGTTACCCCAGGAAGCAACTCTGCCTCTAACTTGTTCCTCCAATTGCACTGCATGAACTAGCATTTCCCAAGACTGAAAGAGGTGGGAACTGGACACAATGCACGCTAGGTTCTGGATTTTGCTTCAAGGATTCACCTGCGCTGGAAATATATCATAATGTTCAAACCCAGAAATCTAGGACTGAGTCCTACAAGGGTCAGAAGTAACATAATTTCATTGGGAATAAGTGTCACCAGAAAGAGCACGTAGAATGTATTATACTATAGAATTAAGCCCTAAATTAAGTTGTGCGTCATATATGACTTCACCTAGATTTTTTTTGCTAAATACTCACGATTTCAGTAAGACTGGCATTCAGACTATTGCTTAGGCTTTCTTCACCTCTGCCTTTTACAGCTGAGGAGCAGATGGCTATCACAGAGTTTTTATTTCCTATGCTTGGAAAAAGTATTTTGATTTGAATCATTCCAAAAGCACCCTGATTTTTAAAAGTAGATTGGCTTCTGAATATTTCTCATAATAAATATGTGGTGGTGTTTTCTGCCAAGCACTAGTGACTGTGCATGCAAAATGGTCAGTGAAGATTTCAAACTGATTTGAATAGGTGGCCCATAAAATCCAAGTCTTTTTTCCAGATACATGAACAAGGGCTTATGGAACCATCTGTACACCAGAGCATTTTTCCAAGAATTGATATACCTTACCATGCTGACTCTTTCTGTGTGTTTCTGGTATTTTCAATGCAAATTCCTCTCAAACTTCCTGTCTAATACAATTTTCAAGTATTTTTTATTAAAAATTTACTAAATTATTTATCATTCACTAGAAAACTCCCCACCAGAATGAAGAACATCCTTTGAAAATGAAATATAATCTGCCCAGTTGCAGGGGTAGAGGCAATATGGTGATCAGGGCAAGGGAGGAGAAGCAACGTTGTAGTGTCTAGAAAGCAGAGAGAAGGACAGGACATGCTGCTGGCCCAAAGAAGTAAAGCATCGCCACAGGTCCAAAAGTTGAGAAGAAAAAAGATGTGCCAATGTAGCTCTGAGAGGAGCAGAAGGGAAGGAGAAAGGGAGGGATTCTAGAGTGAGGGGAAAGAATTAGTCCAAAAGGCAGGGGAGGCAAGAGGTAAGGAGAAGGAGTTTGTAATGACAGGGAAGCCCATTTTAAAATGTTGGGAGCCACAGCGCTGATCTCTTGGGTCAATTAATGTATTCCAGCACTAAGGATTGAGGCAATACTAAAAAAAAAACCCAACAAAACCACATAACGTGGGAAATAGCTATAGTAAATATGCAGTAAATATTCATCATGCCTCATTTTCAATTCATGTGAGAAATTGGCATTGCTATTTTGCAAGGGCATGCCAAACACTAATTATATGCATACCACCCCAAACAAATACAGCCTGATAAAGGTTATTACCCATCAGAAATAACTGGAGTTTTTCCATTGGTTTCAAAGCACATAGAAGCAACTAACAGAGATCAACACCACAAGACATTTTACAATTTCATGAATTTTTGCAGGACTCTAACTGTATTTTGGGAACTAAATTTCAACAGTTCCTCAGACAGGACAATATTAATGACGAAATTAAACCTATTTTCGGAAAAAAAAAAACCAAAACAAAAAACCAAAAAACAAACAGTTTCAGTGTGAAAGGAGCATCTAACCTGGGTCTGCAGTTTTTTGTATTGGTATTGTGAATTTAGTAGGAAAGGAACATGATTTGGGGACATTAAAACTTCGGGGTCTAAAAGACTCTCTCCACAGGACAGGTAGAGCATGAAGAGCTGCAGGCTCCACCTCCCCCTACTGCCCTCTGCCAATATGCCTCATCCCTGAACTTGGCGACCTCAGAAAGCAAAAGCAGGAGTTCATTCTCCAAGTTTCCCT